CCTCCCCTGGCGCAGCTTGAGGCTGTTAACTGTTGTTCTGTCACTCGTTACTTGGATAAGACACCAGTCACCTCCTCTTCCCGTTTCATTTGAGTGGGATTTACTGAAGCCAGTAAGAGAAACTGAGAAAAAACCCAATATCTTTCAACTTTAAGCTCCTTTTAATTTCTAAGCTGGTTTAAATTCAGACTTACCAGCAGAAGATGTGGGCACCCCAACTAAACTTTCCTTCAGCCCCCAGTGCTGCACTGGTACTGATGCAGACAGGTGAGTCGGGCTGGAGAAACCAACTACAAACAGCTTTTCACATAACACTAGAACTCTGAAAGGGTGCTCAGGCTCTGGAACAGGCTGCTTGGGGAAGGGGTGGAATCGCCATCCCTGGAAATGTTCAAAAGCCGTGTGGATGAGGCCCTCAGTGACATGGTTTAGTGGTGGTCTTGGCAGTCCTGGGGTAAGGGTTGGACTCGATGATCAGAAAGGCCTTTTCCAACCTAGTGGATTCTATGGTTCTATGATCATAATCATAGCTTCATTAGATCATGCTGCATTTATTTTACCCAAGTTTGCAAACCGTTGCCTAATTAGAACATTTAATTATTTATTTAAAGGAGTACTTAACATAGGCAAAGATTAAATTTAGTTTTAATTTGGTAGTGGGTAGACTTAAAATCTTAATGTGTGAAAACACATGGTGGTTATAATTTCTGTCAGCACTGAAACATCGTTAGAAAATCCACCCTTGTGAGGCTGGACTGGGTTAACTTTATTTCCTGGCTGTTGTGGCCTTGGGTTCCCACTGCCCCTCCCCACAATCCACATTTAATTTAAAAACGGATTACAGCTTGTAAGTCTCTTCTAAGCGTTGTTAGTCCAAAAACTAATTGGCTCTACCTTTTAAAAGTGGTTACTGACGTGGGCGAGATTTTTATCTGTAAGGAAGTAGCTAATTTAAACGATTGCAGCAGCAGGAGGTATTAACTGTACCTTACAGAAATGTTATGCAATAGAAGACATCACTGGCTGGAAAGAAAAGTGAACCAAAACATCAGTTGCACTGGATTCAGCAATTTATTCCCATATTAAATGAACAAGGTTATCACAAATCTGCCTGGAGCTTATCTGTTAGCTCATTCCCTAATCAGCACAGGAACATAAATTTATACCAATTAAACTACGTTTCTTTGGGACGTTCAGATAGTGGCCTAAAAGATGCTGCTGAGTGACCAACATCCAGCCATCAGGTGCTGTACGTAACGAAGAATACTTTAGCAGCTTGAAAGATGGTTTTGTAGACACCACTCATTTGCTGATGTCGCATGTTGTAGGTCATGCCTTCGTGCGGAGCAGTCCTGTTTGTAGTTGTGCTCTGCTCGTGTTAATGGTAGGGATGCAGTCTGAGCCATTCTCTGATGGGGGGATGAACTGGTCGCATTCACCCGATGAAACTCTTGGCCCACAGATGAGGGCAGCTGTGTGAGAAACTGCCTTTCACCAGAGGGCCTGGAACAGGCTGACTCCCAAATTAGGCGGGGTAGCGGTTGATCCAGGGCAACACCGTTACAAGAATTGCTACTGTTGTTCGAGTGTCGCAATAGGGAAGATATTGGTGATAACACAGATGATACATAGTCTTTGTGTGGTTTAATTTACCTTGACAAGTAAATAATAACCCCCATGGCAGGGGAGTTGGAACCAGATGATCTTGAGGTCCTTTCCAACCCTAACCATTCTATGATTCTAATAGCCACAACCTCCGTGTTTTGTACTGTCAATAGTTCTTTAGCAAAGCCTTTTGTCTGAAGTTCCACCACCATTCTGAGCAGAGCTCTCTTCTACAAAGTCAGGTGGAAAATCAGGCTGAAGGAAATGCTGCTTTACTTACCAAGATTTGCTGCATCGAATCCCTTCTTTGCTGGTACTTCTCTTTGCTTTTAGTACTCTGCCAACGCTCTTTGTGTCAGGCTTCAGTATGCTGCGTGGAGAGGATCAGAGCAAGCTTTCACTGTCAACTAAAGAGCAGGAAAGGAAAGAGAGATCTTCTGATTACTGTTACATAAATATTAGTCTATGATTAGTTTTTTCTAGAATGAAGGGCGATTATGAGGGCAAGAGGAGATCTATTTTCAAACGCCCAGAATTCCTATGCAAGCTTCTTTGAGAAGAGACTTTAAAATTTGACTTAAACTGTTTATAGGAAGCGATTCACAACACTAATTGTTGTATGCTGCCACAGTAGTGTTTGATACAGTCCTGCAGCTGGAGAACACCCTGTTTCGGGCCTTAAGTTAAAATGAAGGGCATGCTGAATGGTCATCTTTGTTTTCTTTCAGAAAATGTCAGCTTACTGTTCAAGTTGTACTGCCTCACGGTGATGACCCTGGTTGCTGCAACATACACAGTTGCATTGCGGTACACAAGGACAGTGGGGACAGAACTGTACTTTTCAACGACGGCTGTGTGCATCACTGAAGTTATCAAGTTGTTCTTGAGCGTGGGCATCTTGGCTAAGTAAGTGTTTTGAAAACAAATCCTTGCTTCTAACCTCAGATTCTCAAATACATTTGAGAATGCGGCTGGATAGTCATGCTGTGGAAGAGTCATTTTAGACTTGTTAGAGCTTGTGAATTCTCCTCAGCTGAAACTGCTTTGTAAACAGCACAATATTCAAGTGTGTCGTTTCTGCATATTTTCTTTTTTTGTATGCTTTGGAATAGGTTCAAAGTGTCAGCATGGATTACCTGTGGTGTTTTGGGTCTTTAGTAGTGTAGGTGAAAGCTGAACTGCAAGCCATTGTCTGCTGAGTTGTATAGAATTGTAATGTTCCTATTCATAAATTTCCCAAACAGTTTTGCAGTCAGACATTTGCTGTCTCTTTTAAGCCAGGGAGTCAATGCTGAAAGACAGGGGTCAGAAAATATTAAGAGTTTCTGTCATCCCAGACTGTTGCTAAGAAATAGAACTTCAGTCCACGTGTGAGCATCTAAAGTAGGGAGGCCGTCAGTTTGCTCTTTTTCCTCTCTGCCTTGCTGTGCTACATTCCTCCTTGGAAGAATCTTTATATTCTGTACTTTTCCAAAACCCAGTTCTTGGTGTTGTAGTATAATTTGTTCTTTTAGGGTCCCTGCCTATCTCTTTGTGGGTTTTGGTACATCAGAAGGCTGATTGTTTTGAGCTAGAGAATCATGGAGTCACATGGTGTACTTCAGATTTTTATCAGAACACGTCTACTTAACATCAAAACAGCATTTTAACTTGCTTTAGGAATGAGACAATATTTGGATTTGATAAGGCAGCTGTGGCAAGCTGCCTTTTGTTTAACCTTTCATTAAACGTAATGTGTTAGAAAAGGCAAGTGTGACCAGTGGCAGATTTCTATTTTCCTTTTTGTGCACCCTGGGCTTCTCCCTGTGCCACCACAAAATGTTGGCATGAGGGTCTCTGCCAATGAGTGGTTGCCCTGCGGTTCTCACAGTGTTGTGGCCAGTGGGGATCCTGATCCAGCCCACTTTCAGGAGACTGTAGCAACCCATGTTTTTCAATGGTGCTGGTTACTTTTCACTCAGAAGCCTATGACATTTTTAGAACAGTCCTGCACAGCCAAAGATCCATGTAGCCCATTGTCCTCCCTTTGACAGTAACAAGCAGAGGATGCTTAGAACAGAAGTATAGGCAATAGGGCGCCCACAGGCTGAGCTTTCCTTAGCTGTTGGCAGAAGCTCATGGATTTCCCAGCCTGGATGCTGTGTGCACACTGTGTCTGTAGCACCTACAGATCCTGCCCTCTGTGAGATTGTCCAGTTTCTTTTCAATGTGTTAGTCCCTACTGTATCTGTGAAATGACTTCTGCAATGTAACTACAAGGTATATGAAAAAGTACTTTTTAAGGAACGCTTTATCTAGCAGTGTCACTGGATTCTGTCTTCCTGTGCTGACAGACATCAAGAATAATTCTTCTCCATTCATTTTTATTTTCATGTCTCTACAGAACTACGTTGTGTTTTTGGAACTCATTCATTTTCTAAGCTGCGAGTTCTACTCTAACTTTTCCGTGATCATCCTAGCACCCATCTCTACAGCATTTCCAGTATTGTTACATCCTTTTTGTAACAGGATCCAGAGCTGCATGAAACATTCAGGATGTGATCATGCCACGGCATTAGGCAGGGGGGCGACGGTGCTTTCTGTCTTGGTCTCAGTTCCTTTCCTGAGGATTCATAACGTTCTGCTTATTTCTCTGAGCACAGCTGAGCCTTGATCTGGTGCTGTCATAGGGCTACTCACATCTTTTTCCAAAATACCTGTAACTGGTTTAGAGATGGTTGCTGTATTATGGGGTTGTTATTTCCTATGATCCTTTCTCATTTATTGACAACTGAGCTTTATTTGCCAATTAAAACGGGATGAATCTGATTCACTGAGCTGTTTGAAGGTTATAATACCTGATCTAGTTAGCTACTGGGGTGTTTTTCTCATCAATCCATGCTCACCTCCTAATGGCAGGGTGTCTCAGTTGCTGGTGGGTCCGGGTGCCTTCCTTTGCTGCCCAGGTTAACTGAGCTGTTTCTCAGATGGCAAAAGATCTGATGAATTCTGCTCGGTGTAGTGAAAGAACTATCGAAGGTTTCTTTTTGCGTATTACATACAATTGAGTATAATCAGCAAAATTTGCCAATTTCCTAGTAATCTCCCATTGTAGCTCACTTACAAATATGCTGAATAGCATAAATTCCAGCATAGTTTGTTTCAGTGACTCCTTTACAACTTCCTCCAGTTTCAAAGTCCTAACCAATTTGTCTCACCCCAGACAAGGTGCCTTTGTAGTTTTATAACCAGTTAGAAGATAGCGTATGATCTGCTTTTTCTGTACAGTGGGATACATTTGGGTGGGTACCTTTTCCTTTTTGAACCAGCCAGGTCTGATAACTGCAACATACAGGATACTGGGGTATGACTCTTGTCTTGTTCCGCCTGCAGAATTTGTTTTCTTACATTTTTACTCCACTGTGTTTACTTTTAAGGTTTCTCCTGGAAGGCACATTGAACAGATGAATGCCAAAAGATTGTCTTTTAGAAGAGGTGTTTATAATAGTTTAAACTGTGTTAATTATTTGCTCAACAACTCAACTCAACTTCTCATATTTATTTGAAGTCCAAGTCACCATCTGTTAATTACATCGTCTGAATTCTTAGATGGTACATACTTACTTAGCAATGGATGAAGGAAAGTAAAGCAGATTTGCAAACTCTAGTTTTGACTTCAGTTTTTCTAATAAATGCATGTTTCTGTTGCAATACTAATTGTTGTATCTCTCACCCATTCAGACCTATGAAGAAAATAGTTGAATCTAGATCAACATCAAAAACACTGAATTCAAACTAGATTTTTTATTTTCTTATTTGATTTTGCAATGTACATCTTTGGCCACCTTATTCTGCATTATCAGCTGTACACAGAGGCTTGTTTTAAATTCTTTTTTTGTGTAGATTTAAGTCTGTCTCCATGTGATCTTTGTACTGAATTCAGCTTACAGTTAGAGACTCTTGATAAGTGCATGCTTCAGAAAGCACACCCACTGCAAAGATGAACTGTCTAATAGTTCATCTTGTTGCTTTCAAAAACTAAAGTGAAAATGGTGCTTATTGGGCACCTGTTATTCTTCATTGCTGAAATTCCATGCTGGAAGTCAGAGTAGACAGGAACTACTGTTACTGCTGTGACTTGACTTTAAATCAGCTAATTCACATGGTGTGAACAGAAGCAGGTATAGTTTAAATGTTATTTTGTTGTTTAACAATTTCTCTTAGTGTCAGCAAACAGAGGAAGCAATCACTGTGTGGTATTTTTTGGCTTCTTAGTCTCACAGAGTAGAACTGTGTCTGTGGTAATTACATGTTAGTTGCAGTTAGACATTTCAGGCAGAAGCACTTCAGTCCACCTGCACTGCAGTATTACCAGGAACTCTTGCTTTTCTTGTACACCTGTAGGAGAGAAGCTTGGATGAAAGGGTCATGAGAGGAGACAGTACGTAAATCTTTGGAGAGGAAAAGTTTAAGAACCTGGAGCACAGAGTTAGAGGTTGATGAGGAACAGAAAATATGCAGGAACAAGGTGGTTAAAGAAGGAGCCTGGGGCATAGAGAGATGGCTAATTTTAGTAATTGCTCGTAAGAGTTTGGGGCAGGTAGATGATGTACATTTGTAAAAAAGAAAGAAGCTGGGACACCGTTGAAATGTGGGGAATTGGGCTCCTGGAATGCTGAGGAGGATGAGACATTTGTTTGTATGCATGTGTAATGGAAGCAAAAGGTGTGTTAAATTCAAGAGCAGTAGAGGTTGCATGTTGAGAGGCCTGTGGGAGGGGACAGGATGTTGGTATTTGTCAGCGGCCAAGCAAGAGAAGAATGCAAAAGGGGAACATGGGACTTGGGGAGAGTTGGGAAGGGAACTGGAGGACTTGAGTAGCAGTGACAAGTAAGCAAGTATGTCAGATTGATGTACCAATGATAAGGGAGAACTAACAATGCAAAGGTCAGCCTTAATAAGCTGAGGAGCAAGCTGCAAAAGGGGACAGAAGCATGCAGCAGCATGTTCTTCCCCATTGCCTGCTCTTTCACATGCTGACCTCTGGTCTCACCTGCCAGACCTCTTCAGGTGTGGGCTGGTGCTGGTCCAGCATGTCCTGCAGCACAAGAGAGAAGAGGAAAACAGGGCTGGCTGAGGAATGAGAGGTGTTTCCAGCTCAGCGGTGTGCAAGGGTACAATCTTTTTTGTCTGTACTTTGAAGCCCAGTTTAAATGGGATGCCTTCTGTCCCACTGCCTGTATACTTAGTGACTTATTCCACTGTTATGGTGTTCATGGTTGTTGTTTACTTTATTACACATTGATGCATCTAACCTCCTCATTCCAGAATGCCTTCCTCACCTTCAGGGGTTTCTACTTGTTGATAACCTCACTGTTTTTCCCAGTTAATATTTCTTTAATAAGCAGAAGGTGGAACTGATTGCTGAGAACAAATTTTCAGCCTTCCCATAGGATTCATTGATTGGATTTCTGTCTCCAAATATCAGTTTAAGAGAGCCCCCTGTTATACTAATACTTTATTTTGCAGAGAAACTGGAAGTCTGGCAAGGTTAATAACATCTTTAAAAGAAAATGTATTTGGAAGCCCTACAGAACTGCTAAAATTAAGTGTTCCGTCTTTGGTATATGGTCTCCAGAATAATATGGCGTTTGTGGCTCTTAGCAACTTGGATGCAGCAGTTTACCAGGTAATACATGTTTTTGTCAGTAACTGATCTGTAAATACATTTCTCTTTCCTGTTTCATGAGGGATGCATGCTAGGTATTTGCCTGCCTAGCACACGGTACTCTCTTTAGCCTCAGTGTTAAAAGCCAAATGATGCTTTTTTATATTCGGAGCATACACTCTGTTTTAGAGCTGTCTGTTTTAGAGCTCTGGTTTGCTCAGCTGGAGTCACTTCAAATTCATTTTGTTGTAATTGGCAATGGTACCAAACCCGAGGGATCAGTGGGAAGTCAATATGAAATTGTATTTGTCATTCTGTAGTTGAATTCTCTATTTTGTTTTCTTGTTTTGGAGGAGTTTATAAAACCACATCCTCAACTATATTCCCACCTTCTTTAGGTGACATACCAGTTGAAGATCCCTTGTACAGCTTTATGTACAGTCCTAATGCTAAACCGTACGCTTAGTAAGTTGCAGTGGTTCTCTGTCTTCATGCTGTGTGGTGGTGTTACCCTTGTTCAGTGGAAGCCTGCTCAGGCTACGAAAGTACAGGTAAGAGAGAGTTTACATTTTGCCACTTCATGATGAAGAATAAACTTCCTTCTACTTTGTATTTCACTTCACAGCAGCTGGGATTATGGTGAGGTTTATTATATCCCACAGAACAGTGTCTGTTGCTTATTTCCAGCCACTTCATCTACAACATAACCACCAGTCTACTTGTTCTCTTTCACATTTATTGTATACCAGTTCAGGCAGGCTTGTGGTATTGCTCCAGTCTTGCTGGTTGGAAAGGCAACTGATTGCTACAATTAGTATAAATTACTACAGTCATCACAATCAGCCTAATGCACGTTCATAGGGGTATCTGAGTAGCGTTTCCAGCAGTTGGCCCTGCTATCATTGTAGTTGTTGGAGCAGAGAACTTGGAATCAAAGCACTTGGCAAAATTAGGAGGGAAACTCCGGTGCCTTGTGGGTGTGGGTATGTCATTTAGCCACACCCTTCAGAGGCATTGACCTGATCCTGTTCTAGGAAGAAACAAGTGTCTTCAGCAGCTGAGACCTAAGCAGCAGGTCAGTGGCATTAGTGGGAAGGGCAGGTCCTGCAGCTGGGAAGAGCACCCACCTCCAAGGAGACAGTGCTCTGAGCACAGCGGGGTTGCTGAGGGTCCACATGGGAAATGAAACACCACACACCTACACAAGCTAATCTGAAGGACAGCTCTAGCTAAGCAAGTCCATTTTACACTGTAATGAAACGCTAATCATTTTGCTATACTTAACAAAGGAGCTCTGGAATTGATTATTGAAAATTACTGAAATGTGGTGTCCTTTTTAAAATAACGGTTGATGTTGCAGGTGGAGCAGAATCCATGGCTCGGGTTTGGAGCCATTGCTGTTGCTGTATTGTGTTCAGGATTTGCAGGTATAGTATTATTTCTGTGTGCAGGTCACATTATAAGGACTGCACTCCTGATGTTTAAACCGGAACTTTCTACATTAGTTAGCTGTCTTTGTTGATTACAAGATAAAAAATTACTTTACACCCTCTACTCATAACTACTTCAACTTGCAATAATTATGGCAGATTCGTGACATGATCACTCCCGTTGTCAAGCAAATGGCTTGACAAAGGAGCATGTACTATGGGTTTTACGTGTTGCAACTTAGAAGACTGGTTTGCATGTGGAAGCACCTTTCAAATGGTTAGAATAATACTGTAGGCAACATCCACAATAACTTGGTACGATTAATTAATGTACATCAGTTTTATAAATTGGGCTCTACACCTTCAGCCTTATGGTGATCACACAAAATCGTTGCATTTTTTTATAAGGTCAATGGTGGAGCTCCTCACTCAGTTCTTGCACTTAGCTCAGCCCCAAAATACATATTGCCTTGGTCCTGTAGGTGGTAAATCTAACTCAGGTGCAGAGGGAGCATGAGATGGGGCAGAGAGGAAGATGAGTAGCAGGAAACCTAGATAGACTGCGTGAAGGAGGTGAGGTTTGGTTTGGTTTTGTTCTGTTCTACAGCCAGTGTTTCCTCTCAGAGTAGCTCTTCTCTGGCTTCTGCAGAAGGAGACCAGAACTTCAGGACAAGTGAGCTGGTGCTGAGAAATAAGGAAATGCAAATTACTCCTTAATTTGAAATCTGGCTCACAGGGGCATATTTCTCTGGCTGTAAACTGGATTCTTCCCCCTCCCTCTGTAAGAAAACAAGGTACTAACACTCGTCTCTGGTACTGTACAGTCCTGCAAAAATAATCTTGTGCTCTGCATACACGGTCATTACTTATGGAAAACATTCTGGTTGGCAGGGGAGGAAAGGAGGAGGGTGTTGCTCTTCTCTGGGTTCTTCTTCTTTCCAGTGAAATGGGCACTTTGAAGCAGAAATACTAAATAAGACTCTGCAGAGCTCAGTCATCTTTTCCTGAAGGTTATAAATTTACTCATTTCAGTAGATCCTCCCAAGCCACAAGACAAAACACGGCATCACAGTGAAGACTTCAGAGTCTCTTAAAGCTCTTTAGCTTTCTCTGATAACGGAAATAGACAGCTGTGCTTCTAAAGGTCTGCAGATTCAGACCATTAGAAGGGCTGATGCAGGCAGCTTTAGAGGGTTTAGACACATAAGGCTTTCTTCTCCCGCAGAAGGATCACAGCTTGGGTGTTTCCTCACCAACAGCTGTAGCTTTGAGGCAGCTGGGAGGACAGAGCAGTTCTTCTGTGGAGCTCCTTGTGCCCTTGGGGCTTTACATGTTGAAAACATAAATACTATTCAAACTCCTTTCCTCTACTTCCTTCCCACACCCACATGAAGAAGCTGTTTTGGCATTGAACCTTCAGTTTCTGGACTGATCATGTCAAGTGGTGTATATTATTCCAGGAAAGTCAACAAAGTTATGTGGTTTTTGTCCCTCAGAGGTAGAAAAGTTTTTCCTTCAAACCACCGATCCTGTGGTATCTGGCAGACCAAAAATGCTTATAAAAGCACTGGACAAATATGTAATGGCAGATCCCTTGTAACTTGAAGCAGTACTGAAGAGTAATTTCTCCTCAACAGCACCCGTTCGTTATTTCATCTTGCCTAGGGGGGTGATTTTCATGCATTTTCAGACATCTGAAAGCACAGTTCCATTGCTTTGCTTACTCTTGCCTTAGTTTATAAAACTTGCAAGTATGGTTGACACTCAAGCCAAATCTCTGGTACCTGATTCTGTCTGGGTTTGCTGTGTGGGCCTTCTCAGCAGGCAGAAATCTCAACACAGATAGATAGATGCTTCTGGGTTCTTTTAAGCACTGCAGTCGTTAGCAATACTGGGGTTTTGTTGATGTTAGACTTCAGAAATTTTTATTCATATGAGATAATATCATGTTTCCTTGGTGGGTTTTTCATTATTTGTACCCCTGAAATATAAATCTGTTCTCTAATTTAGTCCCTACACTGTATTAAATTATAAATTGCATTTTTCATGAATAAAAAACTAGCAAGACCTTCCTTGAAGCTACCTCAGGGATTTTGGGAGTGTGTGCTGGAGGCTTCTAACCCACAGATCTTCTCTCTCTGCCATCTTTGTCAGTTCCAAATACTTTCTTTATATCATATGAAGGATCTTGGGCAACATTAATCACCAATAATTAGTCAGGAGGGCTCACACCAGAAGGTCGTGGAAGTGGCCGAGATGATCTGAGTCCTGCAAACTGCTGTATGTGTTTTAAAATCCTGAGGAAATTCCAGAGATAAGCAGAGTCCTGGTGTGGGAGCAATGGTTAAAAAGGCAGGTAGTGATGGCCTTGTCAAATGTCAGGCTTTCAGCCTGTCATACACCTCCCAAGCAGAGTAATGAAAAGGTATTTGGGGAATTTCATTGAGGCAGAGCATAAAAGTAATGCTCAGCAGCATGGCACTGTGAACAAGAGCTTTAGATTAAAATGAATTCCATTTCCTCAAAACCAATCTGTAGTTTCAGTTAGCAGAAGGCGTCGGTTTTGATTTGCTCTTGTAATCCCCTGAAGCTGTGGTTTCAGAATGTGGCCACTCTGCCAAGGACTGCACAAGTACGAGGCTTCTGAGGAATTCGCAGTCTCAGTTTATAGCTAATGCAGTCCCACCCCTGTTTTCAGGGTTTTTTGTGCTAAGTATCCCAATGGAGAGGGAAAAAAACCTGTTTTTCATCATACTGAAATACATAAATACTGCCTGGGCAATAACATACCAGGTGCCAGGGTGAAACCAAGGTGAAATGCTTGGGGTTTTTTTCTGGTGTAGAATTGTACAGAAGCAACTGCTGGACAGAAGCCTGGCAGATCAAACAGAAATGAGGAGTAGTTTCAATTGTCAATGAGTTGTTACAACAACTGTAAAGAGAAATAGAATCTATTTTTGATACTCCATACCCATTAAAATCTTGTTGTGGAAGACACTTGTTTGGCAGGATTTGGTGTTGGGTCCTCGGCATTTGGGACAGTTTGTAGGACAAAATGATTGCAGTAGAGCCAATGGTTCATGGCGTTTGAAGGATGATGCTTCATCTCTCTGAAACCCTTTTTTTTGTAGGAGTTTATTTTGAGAAGGTCTTGAAGAGTTCAGATACTTCCTTGTGGGTGAGGAATATTCAGATGTACTTATCTGGGATTGTGGTGACTTTATTTGGTGTGTACATGTCAGACGGAGCCCAAGTCCTTGAGAAAGGGTTTTTCTATGGCTATACCTACTACGTCTGGTTTGTCATCTGTAAGTATCTTGTGGTTTTAGGATCTTGTTACATTGTTCTACTTTTTTAACTATGATGCAACTGTTTTCACAAAGCTACAAATCCAATCTGATGCACCCTTTTTTTTAATGTGCTTTGAAGGATTCTATTCAAAAGTACCATTTCCTTGGAAATTACTCACTTGTCCAATTTAAAATTGTGCTGAAGCAGCAGCCTAAATAACAGTAGTGATGATCTTTAAATTAGTTGTATCAGAGGGACTAGATGCCATGCAGACATCCCATTTTGCTGAATATTGCATTAAATCAGCAGTTAGGATGACACAGCCTAAACAAGGAGTACACCAGTGGAGTAAAATGCATCATTTGGAGCGTAACCTACTGCACCTTTACTAATAGAAACCTGTTTATCTGCTTTCCAGTTCTGGCCAGCGTAGGTGGCCTCTACACTTCGGTCGTTGTTAAGTACACAGATAACATTATGAAAGGCTTTTCTGCAGCAGCAGCCATTGTTCTTTCAACTGTGGCATCAGTCGCCCTCTTTGGCCTCCAGATAAGTAAGTGCCGTTTTGCCTTTGATTTGACTGTAGGTGCAAGTTTCCTTCCTGGCCAGCAGGCTGCTATGGCTGTATGCCATTCATACCAAAGCGGTCTTTTACGCCTCCTTTGAAGTTTTCTAGCTTTAACTTCATCTTCTCCAGGACTCCTGTCCACTGGTGTATTGCATTAAGGTGCCTGATGATCCTGTGCTTTCAGAGGCATTTTTGGTTTGCTCTGTTAGAGGCATGCTGCAACCTCAAATAGAAAGGTTCTTTGTGTTATAAACAGCTTATGAGTTCATACAGGTTTATCATAAAGTTATAGAATGGTTTGGGTTGGAAGGGACATTAAAGCTCATCCAGTTCCAACCCCCCTGCCATGGGGCAGGGACACCTTCCACTAGACCAGGTTGCTCCAAGCCCCTGTGTCCAACCTGGCCTTGAACACTGCCAGGGATGGGGCAGCCACAGCTTCCCTGGGCAACCTGTGCCAGAGCCTCAGCACCCTCACAGGGAAGAACTCCTTCCCAATACCTAGTTTAAATCTACTGTCTTAGTGTCAAGCCATTACCCCTTGTCCTGTCAGTACATGTCCCTGTAAAAAAGTCCCTCTCCAGCTTTCTTGTAGGCTCCCTTTAGGCACTGGAAGCTGCTCTAGGGTCTCTCTGGAGCCTTCTCTTCTCCAGGCTGAACAAGCCCAGCTATGTCAGCCTGTCTCCACAGGAGAGGTGGTCCAGCTCTCTGATCATCTTCATGGTCCTTCTCTGGACTCACTCCAAGAGCTCCACGTCTTTCTTACATTGCACATTGAGCCGTTGACCACAGCATTTAAGTATGACCATCCATCCAATTCCTTACCCCTGGAGTGGTCCACCCACCAACTCTGTGCCTCTCCAGTTTAGAGACAGAGATGTCATGCAGGACAGTGTCAAATGCTTTGCACAGATCCAGGTAGATGATGGCAGTTGCTTTTCCCTTATCCACCAATGCCATAGCCCCACTGTAGAAGGCCACCAAATTTGTCAGGCAGCATTTGCCCTTAGTGAAGCCATGTTGGCTTTATTAATGAATCACTTTCTGATGCAGTTTAGTGCGTGATACAGCTGTTTACCTAAGACTGCTATTGATAAGTTATCATTTCTTGTTGGTTTTAGCACAGCCAGTGCCAAATTAGTTTCTCAGCTAATTCTGCAAAGGGCTTTACACATCCCTGTTAAGTTACACCTGCTACTGCATTAACTTCTGCCTTCCCCATTTGCTGTGGACACCACCACGAGAGCAAGTCAAACAAACAGGAGCTGGGGGCGTGACTGATATGTGGTGAATATTTTTGAGAGTAAGCAGCAGACTGCTTTGGGCTGTTCTGCAACCACAAAGGATTTGCTCCCTGATCAAGTCTGTGTCTGATACTACACCTAATAGCTCCTGCTGAGGCCTTGGCTCTTTAGTTTTGGGTGTGTTTTACTTTCCTTCCATAATCCAAAGATGGTGAATGGTGTAAAGATGGTGGCTTTCTGATATGGCATTAGATGAAGCTGAAGGGAAGTTTGCTGAAGGAGAAAATCATCAGTGCTTGGCTGAAAAACAGCACCTTAAAGCAAGTGATGGAAAAACACTACTAGTTTTAAAAACTCACTTGGGCAGAATGTTTTCTTGATGGTTGACACAAATCAAGCCCGGACTGGTGATCTTTATGAGAAAGTGTCATTAATAGTGTTTCTTAGCCCTGTCTAGATATGGAAAGGCAAACAGTGTGTTACCACACGCTTTATCACACCCACTGTGCCTCTATGATTAAGTTTATTGTAACGTAAGCTTTTTGGATGGCATCTGGACTGCAGGAGATGTTTCACACTTGCTTTTCTGACCACCATCACGTTCTTGCTGGTATGAGACTAACTGAAATGGTGCGGGGATGGTAAATGCTCAAGAGTTCCCAGTGACAGAGGATGATCTAGGTTCTGTGAATTATTAACAGCTCATTGTCCTGTTTACTGTTGAGTCACTTTAACACTGTCATTTAGATATTGTAATTTATATAGTTTACTCTTCTGAAGATTTCTTCATATACAGAGATATTTATTTAACTGTTTTGTCTCCTTCCAGCTGTTACCTTCTCTCTGGGTGCCCTCCTGGTGTGTGTTTCTATTTACCTCTACGGATTACCTCGACAAGACACCACAAAAATCCAGCTATCAGAAACAAAGAGCTCAAAAGAGAGGCTTGCTACTGTGTGACGTTGTCCATAGAAATGGACAGGCAGGCAAGCGGAAAAAATGGACTTCTTTAAAAAAAAAAAAAAAGGCATTTTTTTTAAATTAGCCTTAAGCTAGTCATGGAATGGTTGAAGTGGGATAGACTAAAAGCAGAAGTTAGTTCTGTTTTACATGGGAAGATTCCAGTGGCTGACCCTGAGAGGGTCATCATCACAGCTGAGAGGCTGGATAGGTGTTCTTATTGAAAGGATTCTTCACTCACAGCAAACACTGGAGAGCCTATTTACAAGGAAAGCGGGATGAAGGAACTGAACACTCAATTGTATATAATGTATATAATGGAAAGAAATTGGTTCTTTGTGTATTTGATAAACTGTCTTGCCCTTTGAGGGCAGAAATGCCCAAAAGCTTCATAAAAATCTATTAAAAAGAGCAATCACTGCCAGCATTTTCTCTTAAACTAGTTGGCAGTTGCAGTTTGATTAGCAACACGAAAAGTGTCTCTTCTGGGTGATACACATGAGATGATAACCCAACTCCACCATGAATAATCATTCCTCAGGCATCACTTACCTTGAAGTGATTAGAAGTAGCGCTTGCTGCTTGGTTTAAAAAGTCAGAATGAAAGACTGGTGCTTTTCTTAAGCTCTAGATTTTCTTAGACTTTTCAAATGTTTCTTACACCTGCTGTAGCTGGCAGAGGGATTTTCTCTTCTTGTGTGTTTTGTCAAGCCCCAGTTGTACAGGGGAAGGTTCTTGTGTGTTCTTGTATCTCTGGCTTTAGTACAAATGAGGCAATTTGGAGCATAAGACAAGATTTTTATCTGTACACTTTCTTTCTAAACCTTTTTGTGCATATCAAGCGATGCTTGAAAGGACTTCCTGTAATGCATGTTAGACTTTGATTTAATTTAGGAGTGCCAACTGTGTGATTTCAACCTCCTCCTTAATTTTCTGAGGCCTTGGTTCACCCTTCCAGAAACTACAACTCTGCACTGAGAGAAATACTAACTGGTGCATCATCCACGTTCAACATGGAGTCAGAAACATGACCTAGTTCATATCCTGGTAGATTCTTTCAGACATGAATTAATGAGCTGGGTTTTACTTGAAAGTGGGGTATGTTAACCACAGCAGTAACAAACATGCCTAAATTCTGTTCCAGTGGGAAACGATGCTCCTGTCTGACTTTTGCCAGCTGTTCTGTGCACATGGAACAGTGTGCCACCCCCATGCTGCTCTGGTGTGTGAAGGCTGTGGTGGTAGAGATACTGCCAGTCACCTGCACTACCTTACACATGATGCCCCACCTCTGTTCAGCAGTGTGGTGGCTCTGCGTGCCACGTCTGACTGCCTGTACAGTGCTGAGAGAGCATGGCAGGTCCTGTTCCACCAGTTGGGCAGCAAATCCTCTTCTTCCCTGTTGTCAGTGTGACGGAGGAAGGGATGAGGAACAGGATGTGACAGCTGGCAGTTGGGCTTACCTAAAGTTACAGAAGGGGGAGTGCAGTACAACACATGCGGAATAAGTCTCTGGCCTGGTCTGACTAGTTTGTTCCAATATATAGAGCGCCTGCAGCTGATGTACTATTAGGCCTAAGTACCCAATGGCAACTGCAAAGAGAGAGAACTTTGATCACTTAGGGCAGCACACTTAACACCACTTCCTCCACCAGAAGGATGTTATGTTTGCATGGCAAACAGAGAGCAGTTCTCTTTTATGGGAAATACCATGTACACTAATGTCTTAAGTACACTACTCCTACCAAGTGCCTGGGAGAAGGTGACTGTACTCCCCTGGGCATGCATGTCAGTCAGTGTGATGGAGAATACAAACATTCAAGAGCAGGCAGAGAGGTTCCAGACTGCACTAGCACTGACACACAGGAGAGTATTTATATTATCTTCAAAACCCCTTTTACCGGAGAGACATGACTTTACATGGCATACAGCCTCATTACATTTGAGTTACAGGTGTGATGCCAAGAAGTTTCATCCCGTTGGCTAGAACTGAGCGAGCAGCTTGGAAGAGACAGCGCCTTGCCTGGAAAACAAGAAGAGCCATCAGCTTACAGTATTGCTGCAGAACAGAGCATGCTTCTCAGGACAGTAGTTAGGAGCAGCCTGACAGAGGTGAGAACACTGTGTACATCCCTCTGTACCCAGGCAGAGCACTGGGAGTCAGACCTACACCTGATGTGAGTACTGAGTAACACACCAACGCTGGCGGAGTTCACACCAGCTGTTGATAGCCCATTGCAGGGTCAACAGAGGGACACTTCTGTCAAGGGCTGCTTTTGAAGTGAAGTTGAAAAGCAGCATGTGCCCAGCCCTGTACCCTCAGGGCAAGGTAACCAGAGGAGGTGCCTGCAGAAAGAGCTAGCAATGAATAGAGGGAAAATCTTTGTTGCCCCAGCAGCTGTTACAGCCTGCAGATACTGCTGGAATCCCTCCTCTCACTGTGCCGGGGTTAGAGGCTGTCAAGCAACTGTGGGCTGCTTCAAAAATTTCACTCTTCCTTATCAATGCCTTAGCTGTTACACAACTGGGTGTTCGGGAAAGGCTCTACTAACCCTACTTCAGAAAAACAGTTCTTGAAAGCTGTCACACTGTAAGATATTTAGAATATTTTTACAGGATAAGGCACTGAAGTTTTCCTTGTAGCTTGGACTGGTTTAGTCTGTCTTCAAAGGCAGGCAGCATCTACGCTCAAATACAGAGCACAGCTCCATCAATTCCACTGAACTTAAAAACTATTTTTTCCCCCCTCACAACACAGCTCAACATTTAAATGTGACTTCCTACCAAAATCAGATAGGTAATTGCTTTTGAAATAGATGAAAGAGAAAATAAGAAAGGCAGTGTAATTAATATATCATTTACTGAGCCATTAGGGGGTCAAACATTGCCTGGGAGATGAGTAGAAAATAATTTGCATATGTTTGGAACTGCAGATTAACAGTTGTCAGCCTCTGCTTTAGCTGGAACTGCAATACAGACAATTTGGGATATGTAGGTGGCAAGAGGGAGGAGATTGAGTCAGTTATCTCCTCATTCTCTTGTCTTCCCACATAACCACTAAAGGAAACTATCAGAAATTCACCAGTGAGTTAACTTGCTCAAATGTTTACTTCTGACTGGGTTTGGAGCCGCTGTCCTTATGGAGATTTGTGTTTTGGGAAGATCAGGCAGATCCATGGTGGCAGTCCCTGCCTTCCCAAAGGAGAGCCTGCCTGTTGGCTCATTAGGCTGCAGGTGCATGCTCACCCCGGTGGTTGCGCAGCTAGGCTGGCAAAGCCCAAGGGAGCCTTCCTCTTGGAAGGGACACCCTACCCAGACCCCAGCCACGTAACGGCCCCGTGCCCTGCCATACCTGCGCTACCTCAGGGGCGCTGCCTTTCACGGGAAGGGTTTTGTGTGCCACGGCTGCAAGATGGCTGAAATGGAAAACACAGGGAGAATGTTGAGAACAAGCAAGTCTCTTGACAAGAGGAGTGCTATGGGCTACAGAAAGCAGCAGAACTGGAAAAGCCACAACTGCAGCAGGCCAGAGACTTATTTCCACCTGGCTGAAGGAGGGCACGGTTTTCTGTAGCCTGCATATTGTCAGGGCATGCCATCAACACCTTCATGTTTGTCAAATAACCCCAAAACAATCTCTCCACCCCTGCATCCCCCCCCCCAAAAAAAAAAGCAAACCCAACCCAAACCAACCAACGAAATGCACACAAAAACCAAACTAGTCAGGAAAGATCCTGAAGAGCCTGCCCTGTCATTCCCAAGGTGCCTAATTCCTTATACAATTTTCCTTAATTCATTAAGGCTTTCCCCATACACAGGCCTACAGCTTCTTCCAGCAGGTCTTCTCCAGTGTTTCACAGTGCTGTTAAAACAGACAGGTCCCGATGGAGGTAAGTTATATGCCATATAATTACAATAGTATGCTTCGTCCATCTTAACACATAGGCTGAGATCTGTGGTTAAAGGGGGTTGAACAGAATTTCCTAGCCAAAATTTTGAGCTTTGAGAGCATTATCATCACTCAAATCTGCTCTTTAAGGTAGGATTAGTCAGTGTGATTTTGAGTTCAGACACCCAGTTACAGCAACATTATCCTTTTTTGTTAAAAGCATTTAGTTTCTGGCTCCTTTGTTCCTGGTTCCAACCTCAATCTCTGTTACACTATTTGCTATCCTGCTTCATACCTTACCTGCTCCTGTAAATTTGTCCCACAGATTTACATCTTCCCACTATTTTTGCTCTTCAAAGCAGTGCAGATGCGAGGGTTGCAGAGCCAGCTCAGGAACACCCACCCTTACCAGAGATAGATGGCCGGTATCAGCATTCACCTTACCTAAGTGTGAGGAGGTAGCTGACAATGTGCTTGGGTTGCAGATCCTGAGAAGATCGATAGAGGACCTCATCATACCTGTGAAGAAAGAGGGTTGTTTGGTATTACAGGGACTGGGAGATGTACTCAAATACAAGGCTCATCAGAAAGCTTAAGTCAGAACAAACACAACTGCAGAGTTAACAAGAACAATCTTCCCAACCAGACCCAAGCCATGTAATTAGCCCAGAATTGATTATTTCTTCCTCATTCACTTATTGAAGAAGATTGCTTCTGCTTCTCATCATGCAAGCACTGTGGATGGCAGAGCTCAAGGAGGCAGGCTAGAGCAAAGAGAACATAAGAGCTGTATTTGCTCCTGGAACACTGTTTTACATTCCAACACTAAGTGTAAGTTCCTAGGAGCAAAAAATACATATTAAATAAACAAGGCTGTCAAAATAGTCCCTTAGAGGATGTTGCTTTTACTAAATGCAGATCAGGATTTTAAGTAGCTACAGGGAATCTCGCAACATTATAAAATACAAAACCAAAGCGGGTTTACATTATCCTGGAATAAAATCAACTTTTTTAAGATGGTGTTAAACTGGATTATACAGGCAAAGTCATGGAGATCCATTTTTTTTCTTCATGTGTTCTGCTGTCCATTTGCACACATCCTCTTTTTTGCAGCCTGCAAAAAGCTACGAACACTTCTGGGGCTGAATAGATTTCCAATTAAAAAGGCAGGAGTTTCTTTGCTCAGCTCTCAGGCCCATCCTGTGAGAATGAAGACCTTAGGCCCACTGTAGGAGAGGATCAGGTTCAAGACCA